AGCATTCAATTATTATCAACAGTAATAAACTTTGCTGAGTGCTGCGCTAGATTGGAGTTGAAAAGACTGGATGATAAAACACGGATTTCGGGAAATGAAAAGGGGCAATTATTTTAGTGGCCACCCAAGTATGTGCACCAAACATTTTTCTTGGACGGCCTTGAACTCACTACATTGCGAATGAGAGAATAAATATTTAGTCAAGCAACATCAGGTTGGTCGTACAGAAATAACTTTGGCATGTCAGTAATGGTTTTGTTGCGTTTTCACAGGCGTATATATTAAGCAGTGATGATTTATCCACTCTTTAAGTCAATCAAACATTTTACAAATCTGCATGTACTCCCTTTGACAGATACTATTTTTAATATACAAAGCAGACAGCTTGGATTAATAGCTTGTTTTTAAAGTTTTTAAAATAGCCTGAAAAAAGAATGAAACTGATTTGTTTCCCTGAATCATCTTGGTTTGAGGTTCTTGTTTGAATTTTTGACACTGTACTATGATAACCACAGCAAATACAGTCTCTATCACTGAGCCATGAATCATTTTAGCCTTGCGATCCAATGGCACTTCAGTTACATCATTTCAAACATGCATCCATCTGTGCAAAAGCTATGCATTAATGAGTCAGCAGACTGCAGCCTCACTGCTATCATGACAGGGCATTGTTTAAAGCGAAAACAGCACAATTCACCCATCGACACGTGCCCACACAGATATATGCGACATATTCTATGTAATTGCAGATTTTTAAAAATTAAAGAGCCGCAGCATATTGGAATTTTAAATCCATTTATTATTTTAACATTTAATGTTTTAGTAAACAAACATTTGGCTATATTGATCCATTCACAGGTAAGTATATGCCCTTAAAAATGTGGATAGTTGCAAATATTAGTTACACTCTGTTACAGTGTAATGATATACATTTAAGGAGTAATTATAATTAACTACATGCACTTACTTCTGGATTAGGGTGTGGGATTAGTTGCATGCAAATATGCATAATGTACAGTAATTATAACTACATGTGCTACAAGGAAACTAAAATAAAGTGTAACCCAAATATTTGAGCCACTAAAGACCTTCACCTAAGGCTTAGTCTTGTTTTTATTAGGGGATGAAAACAGCTGATAAAAGGTTATTTACAATCTACACATGATTTTTGCTCATATTTTGAATTCGATTTTATTTTTTATATTTTCTGTATTCACTTTAATATTAGTTTCAGTTTTAGTTCATTTTATTTATTAGTTTTAATTTATTTAGTTTTAGTTATTTTAGTACTTCAAGTTAAACTAAACAAGACTTTTTTCCTGGTCAACTAGCTGAAATAAAGATATGAAGAGTTCAGATGCAAAAGCCTCTAAATGCCATTTGAAATTTTCTTCTAAAATGACCATTTTTATCAAGCTTGTATATTTAAGTTCAGTAATTTCACTTAAATGACAATTAATAGGTAATCTCCATTGCCATTAAAGTGGAATTCCTAAACTTAAATATACAAGCTTGATAAAAATGATCATTCTAGAAGAAAATTTCAAATGGCACTTAGAGGCTTTTGCATCTGAACTCTTCATATATATATATATATATATATATATATATATATATATATATATATATATATATATATAGTTTTAGTTAGATAATGAGAACACTACCCAGCAGTAAATGTATAACACCACTGCAATTGACACTAAGAAAAATACATATATTTGACTAGGATGTCACATCATAATTATTGACAGAAACTATAAAGGGAATAAATGAAACTGTAGGGTTGAGGCACATCCAGGTGAAAGGGCTGAACATAGGATTCTGGGTAACATGATATTTACAGTTTGAAGGCCTGGCATTTAAAGCTATAACCTAGCTATGGTCTCTCATTTGACTTTTGTTTGCACAGCAAAAGCAATATACACTATTTAAATTCACCGTAGCACCTTTCGTTAACTTTTAGGTGGTATAAAACCTTTGGAAGACACCTAAAGTGGAAATCGATAGTTCGAGGGGTAAGGGGATTGACCAACAGAAACTTGTGACCTGCAACCAATTATTATCCTATGTTCCATCCTCTTTAATTGTTCTCATTTAAACAGCCATGAAAGTCAAATCCAACCTGAAATAAATTTACCTGTCTGACCTGGTCTCCAGTAAACTACCCCTTTCCCACCCCCATGCTTTCATTAGGTAGTTTATAGAAGCTCCCCTACAAGGACACCTCTTCTGGAATAGCAACTGCCATTCGATCGTACTCATAACTTTCTTTCCCCCCCCCCCCACCCCCACCATTTCCCACCTCTACCCCATTCCACACCCCTTCCGTGTGCCTGAAGAATGTGCACACCTATCTGAATCCCTCAGGTTCTGTGGCATTAGGGTTCCTTAATGGAATGGGGAAAAATAAAAGATTTCCTCTGACTTGTTTGATTTGCAGATCTTATAAAAGATGTACGAAATACACATTTAATTATATGGAATATGCATACCTGTGCATGAGTACTAAAAAAGTTCTTTGAGTGGAGACCATAGAAATGTCCATGAAACCCTCATGTTGGAGAACTCTGTGACATTTTCCATGAAGCTGATGTAGGTAACTGGGTGAGGCATGATGTATTGATGGATTTACAGGCAAGGAGAGTAGAAATGTATTTCAAATAAAAAATTTAACAATATTCAGCACTTCTCAGAATCTCCCTTTATCAAATCCCAATGGACCACTTGGCTTCCCACGCAGGATCTGACAAAGTTATGCAACACTGCATAGATGTGTTCTCTCCATCTAATAAACGAACCCTAACAGGTGGGAAAGGGACCAAGAAAAACAAAGATGCTTAGAGCTAAAAAGAAATTTACAGGAATAACAAACCAAAGTGAAAGGAAGCCTGTGATATGAGCATCTAGTCAAGTTTTGTGAAGAGAATTGTGCAGCGTGACAGTTCTTCATTGACAGAATTGCTCACATTCAAGTGCAAAATAATGTGTTCAAGCTTTATTTAGATTCCCTTCAGCTTCCACAACGTGATTGCTAAGCTAGGCTAGCAGGAGTAGCCTACACATAAAAAAAACAGCGACAGTATGACAAAAACAAAGAACCCTACTGCAAAAACTAAAACATTATCACCCTATACAGTGAGCATACAAAATTACACATATGTATTGGGATATTTCATTCTTCTATAAGTAATTGACATAGCAAACACACTGCTATATATCACTTTGGATTTTTACCTGAACTATTTTAAGCATTAAATGCACAATAATGTGTTTTTTTGTGCTGGGAGAACTATTATGTTCCATAATTTCAAATAATGCAAACATAAATGATAATAGTAGCCAGTAAGTGGCTGCTTAAACTGCATTACACAATAGGGTTGGGTTTTTTAAAGGTTCAGGATCATCAGGATATATTTTGTACCCTATTATTGGAAAGTGCCAGTTTCTTAGAGTTAGACTTAGTTTCTTAGACCAGGTTGACCTACCAATCTGAAACCCACAAAACTAGGTGGTGGTAAGTGCACTCGGCAAGAAAGGTGTATGCTTCCAACCAGTTTTAAATAAATCTGCAATGTAGTCATGTTAAATTCTCGCTCATTAATAAACACCAATCAACATGAACTGCAAGTCATTTAATTACAATCAACAGACAATGATAAACAAAACTGGAACCATTGGATTAATGGGACAGAATGGGGCCAGTATTTTTAGTTGTAGAATCTATTTGCAGCTCTCAGTGCTGCTTAACCACTTCCTCCAATTTGAACACGACTCTCCTCTCGAACTGTTGCCTCATCTGTTCAGCTGTTACTGTCACTTTGGTGCAATGTAGCTACAGGACAGTGCACTAAAGTGCAAGTAGTCTACTTCATTTCTGCTCAATAAAGCTATTAAGATTCTCAATTCATGTGAAGTAAAACGTTTCACAAAAGTGTTTTAATTTATTGCTATTGGTTACATATCTGAGTAGGCTAACTAACAACAGTACATAAGTGAACATTGCTGGTCTCCTAATTTTAAAAAAAATCTTTAAGCAACGTTTACTTAAGTTGCAGTAACGGTAACATTATGATTATTTTTATTTTGTTTTATTAAAAAAAATATTTTTAAATCAATAGATGAAATTAAAGTTAGACAAAATTATCCAATCACTCGCGTTGCTTAAGTCAACGCGACGAGTGCAATGCAAAGTAATTTCATTTAGTCTTTTGACCTTACGATATTGCTTTTCAGTCCATACGGTAGGTTAAAACACTTAAAACTTGTATATAGTTTAATATCTTATTTTCGTCTGGCTGTAGGCCACACTACTTCACTTCACGTAAACCTTTATAAAGAAAATCAAAAAATGAGAATTGACCTTCCTCTGCTGCTTCTCCCAGGCCGGGTCCAGTAACAGGTCTCGATCCCAGTCGTTTTCCTGGGTCATGTATTCCTCAGTCGTAGTCATCATGTAAGAACCATATTGCACTTGCGTTTCAATCGCTGTCATTTTGTCGTCTTTCCTGGGGTGCTTGGTATCCCCTCAACCTACACAACCTAATTATTTACCTCTTAATTCAACATACAATCAGAGTCCCGTGAGGGTTTGGAGAGAAGACAGACCCTGCTCCCACCTGCCGATGAGCTGACAGCTGCTGCCCAAACTCTACAAGTAACGGCGCCCAATATGAGTGGACTAACTGCTGCAGTATTTGGTCACAACATTTCCTAAAAGGTGATGGGCGGGATTTAAGAGCGGTACAGAATGAAGAGAGTCAACTTCGATTATCGAGTTAAGTAAACAAAAGCACGTTCCTAAACTAAAAATCATACGAGATACAGAGATTGAAGCAAGTTTGGTTTATCCTCTGTACGGTCTCGCGCACAAGCAAACGTTACTGTACTGTTCAGATAGTTATGCATTTCGATTTTGGACAAAATCTCAATACATAAATTAATTGAACATGAAAATAAATAAAAAATGATAAATTAATGAATAAAACAAGACCATAAAATACGCTTTAAGCATCATTTATTGAACTTTACAAGAAGAAAATACAAAGATCATGGCACTAAAGCCAGTTTGCAAATAAAAAACGTTAGGATTCAGATTCAGACATTAAGACAATTACATAGACCACAATGAAAGTTGCCCATTCAGACCTAGAAAAAATGATCAATGATACTTGAACTTCCCTGAATCACTGAATATTTCAGTTCTGGATTATCTACAATCATAGTTTATCCACAAATAATGCTCCACTGCCCAGCTTTTCAAAGCACCTTTAAATCAATCAGAGGTGAAGCCATTGGAAGGTGTGAAAGACACAAAATCAAAATGCATCATATCAATATATCAACTGTAAAGTATTATAAAATTTGAATGAAACATTTGAGGTTAAAGCCTTTTTAATAAAGGAATGCACACTGATTTCGAAAAAAACGGTTCATTTCAGATAAGAAATGGTTTTGTATCAAGTGACTGGCTGAATAGGCTTACCTTAAACAAGGGCTTTCAAATACAATTTCAAATTTGCACCATTTGCAAGTTCAGTTCACCCAAAATGAAATTTCTGTCATTGTTTACTCGCACTCATGTCGTTCCAAACCCGCAAGACCTTTGTTCATCTTTGGAACACAATTTAAGATTTTTGATGAAATCTGAAAGGTTTCTGCACCAACCAAAGGCAGCAATGTCAATTAAATATTTAAATGGCCCAGAAAGGTAGTAAAAACATCATTAAAATAGTCCATGTGACCAGAATGGTTCAACCTTAATGGTATGCAGCGACGATAACTTTGTGTTGCAAAAAAATCAATAAATAACTTAATTCAACAATTTCTATTCTTCCGTGTCAGTCTCTTACGCTGATCACGTAGTTATCACAATGCAGTGCTTCTGGGTTCTATGTCAGAACGCTGCCTCATTATTGGCCGACGGTGTTCACGGGAGCTGGCAAATAATGAACCAGTGTTCTAACATAGAACCCAGAACCTCTGCACTGAATGACATTAAACAGAAGAAATTGTAAAATAAAGTTGTTTTTGATTGTTTTTTGCACACAAAAAGTATACTAATCACTGCATAACATTAAGGTTGAACCATTGTAGTCACATGGACTATTTTAACGATGTATTTGAAACTTTCAAGGCCCATAAAGGTTGTAATGACGTTGCTGCCAATGGCCTGTTCAGAAACATCAGATTTCATCAAAAATATCTTAATTTGTGTTCTGAAGATGAATGAAGGTCTTACGAGTTTAAAACAAAATGAGGGCGAGTAATGACAGAAATTTAATTTTTGGGGAATTAAACCTTAAAGAGTTCATTTTGCTTATTCAAATCTGTATGTGGACATCATCATTCAAAATCATGCACAATCGTTACCCTGAGTGAACTGGAAAAAAAAACTGAAAAAAAAAAAAAAACTGAAAAATGTATGTTTTTCTTTCATGAGCAATTTGCAGAAGCAATCTGAATCAATAACCCTTCTCTTAGAGTTAAAGCTAAAATCAGTGTGTTGCAGTGGAATCTATGATCTTGTGAAGCTGAAAGTTGAGGTGGATGTGAGCTGGACGCATTGGTTACTCACCTACGAGTTCATTGCCCTACTTTTGGACAGCTCTGCACCCTTCTTAAGTATTCACAAACAGTTGAAGCGCCTCATCTCGCCAACTGGAAGTGCTTCAAAAAGACTAAATGCCAGAGAACAAGCCAAGGCAAATGTCAGCCATTCTTCCCTCTAACTGCGTGAGAAAACACTTGGAAATTTATTTCCAGCTCGACTTGAAAGCATACTGCCAGAAAACAAACCTCAAAGGCACTAAAACCTTTTATCATGAGAATTTGGGGCAAAAAATTTAACTCAAAAGACATGAAAAAAAAAAAATAGCCCAGAAAAGAACTAGATTTTCTGCCAATTAAGTTTTAGACAAAATTCCAAACCATGAGCATTTTGGGGAAGCTAAATGAGCTGATTCTACTGCTCCAGGCTAAAGAAAAAAAACACCACAATTCCCCCACAATAGGCACTGATCCAACCACATAGCAGAAAATATGTGCCATCCCCATTGTGTTGACTGTAATGTCAGTATAAACTAATATGGGTCTGTTAGAATCATGGGGAAGTGTATAATCGAGGTGCAGGCGTGGTTGGGGGCAAATGGCTTTACCTTAGTGGGGAGCACGTCCGAGGCATTGTGGGGCGCTAATTCTCTTCCCCCGTCATGCTCAACTTGGCGTCCTGAGGCCCGGGAGCCATTTTAGCTGTAGTTAGCGAAAAGGGAAAATGTGGCTGGAACAGCAGTAATAATAACAAGAGACATACACTATTTATAATAAACAAAACAGACAATTTACTGTGTAGAATCATTTGTGTGGAGTCCAGGTGTGCTGAAAAAAGCTACACCGCCACCACCTTTCCATCTCCATTCTATCATACATCAAATTGAGAACATTAACACTACAGTGTTTTTTTTTGCCTGTGAAGTGTAATCAAAGAGATGAAGTTGAATGGTTGTGTGTGCCAAGTGAGATTTGTGTGTGTACCCCACCATATTTCTTTGGAATGAAAGACTGAAGACTGCCTGAGGGGCATTCTAGGAAAAGAGGACATACATAACATGATTACAAACCATTCTTTTTATCATACCTTCCAATTTCAAATCATTTACTTTTGTGTCTGAAGGGAAGCTACTCAACAGTCATAACATCTGTATCGCTTTGAAATTTTAGCAAAAATTATATTGCTGAAACTAAGAATTTGAGTAGATTCCCTTCATACTTTACAAAAGTTTGAATCTTCTGGCATTCTAACCTGGATGAATTATTCACACACTTTCAGTTTATAATGTTATAACATGTACGTTTAATTGAATTGCCTAAAATGCTCAAATTGGACAGCACATTTTTTTCCTTAAGAACAAAAATACAATTGTATGAAGCACTTCACTGTTTGTTTGTTTTTTTCACTCAATTGCCTTAACTATGTCAGGCCTGAACAAGTTTATCACCGCCCTCCCCTCCCCCACCCCACCTAAATAACTGTTTCCACCCCAAAGCCCCTGAAATAATTTCACATGACTTTTAATAATAAAGAGACTATAATAAAGTGAACAAAATAAATGGTCAGAGAAACATAATAGTAATTGCATGGGGCTACTTTCAAAGGAAACAAGAACGTAAAAACCTCATTCTCTTTTAAAGACATTTGAGGGGTACCACCCGTACTAGCAAGTCAATACTCCCAAGTATTTTGTCCATGTAAGAGAATGATGCAAGCCAGAGATGGCAGTCGGTTGCTCTTTAAATCCTGCAAAACATGCATAACTGCTACTGGCAGGCTATAGAACCAGTTCCGTTTGCTATTTAGCAACGACATCTCAAACTCATTCAGAGTCAATATAGGTATCCAAATGGAAAACATTTAGAACATTGAATATGCTTATCGAGCGACAAATTAAACGTGTCCCTTTTGCAGTTAATCTGTCCTTACCTCTCTTTCGCGACAGGCGATTTTAATTTCAGTTTTATTGTATTTGAACTGGGCAGGCGTAACCATCTGCACTAGTGAGGCAGTGGTTAGAGCGTTTAAGTACAGATGTGTATTTGTTTGGTACGGATTTACCTAAATATAATATCCATGATATGCACCACCCTTACTCAAATAGGACTATACAAAATAAGTATGATGTGCATGTGATTGTGGTGCTCATGTAAGCTAAGGGCTCAGCCAAACTGTTAACATTGTGTTCCCACTCACACACACACTTCACACAGGTCCTCTTTATATTCTATCTAAACTATGCTGTCTTCCTAGTCGTGTGAAATTGAACATCAGCCTAAGCCAAATACAATATACTGACAACAATTTGGATTAAGATATTCGACTGAGACTTGCTCCTTTGCTGAACCATGAATTTAATAAAACTGTACCTTAGCTGACGTACTTGATTTTACAAAAGTCTGTACAAAAAAAAGTTTATTTTTACAAGGCACAGTCTTTTGACTTCAGAGAATGTTTGACCCAACGGGTATTTTATCTATAAAACTGACAGCTAATGTAATTCTGAGCACTTCGAAAAAATAAGGGGGGGAAAAAACGAGAAGGGCTCAGAATCAAAATGGCCTTGTAAACTTCTACATTCTGTACATAATGACATGTTTGACATTATGCGAAGGAAATAACTGCGAAACTAAAATAAACTCAATTTATCCCTTTCCTCCAGTTTATTTTGTCATGTAGGACCAAAACTGACGCACGCACACATTTTCACAGCCATACACGTGTGCACACACTCATGTAATGGGGGCTATCGATATGGGGACTCAGATGTGTGTTGGTGAGAGTAATCAGGATGGCGTAGGAGGGGCTCCTTGTGTGCTGAAGTTGGCTCATACACTCTTGGTGAAACTGTGGTGCCAGGGGCGGCCATCTGCTGCGGATCCATTGGGCCTGGAGGCACCATGGCCATCGGAGGAGGTGGCGGTGGAGGCGGCGGATAGCTGTACTGGTACTGCTGGTAATGTTGGTACTGCTGGTATTGTTGGTACTGCTGGTACTGCTGGTACTGTTGGTAGTACTCTGCATAGCACCTAGTATGAAGAAAAAATAAATAAATATTGTATATTTAAGTTCATATAAATCTATAAAATATTATATGCATTATTACGTAGCGAAACATTTGATGCCTTTACCTTGCAATTGGGTCTCCATTTTTAACTGCAGGTAATTCTGGACCACCAGGTGGTGTTGGGAGCAGGGCCCGTCGTTTGGGTCGTGTCTGGGAGAACGGCTGGGGAACCGGGTCAGGCAGTAATGGGGCCGAGCGCCTTATTGGACTTCGGTCTCGGTCGGATTTGGTCACAGCCTGCTGTTCGGCCAGAACTTGTTGTCCCTGCTCAAAGAATCGGGCCCGAGCGGCTTCAAACATGGCTTGGGGGTCAGGCTCTGTGCCTCCCATGGTCCCATAAGCTGGACTGGCACCGTACAGAGAGGAATTTGCTCCGTAGGCAGGGTTAACTGCAGTAGCGCCCGGGGGAGCTTCTCCTTCAGTGGGGTAGCCATTTCCAGCCTGGCTTGTCGACGAGCTGAGCACCTGGTCTGCGACAGCACTATAGACTTGACTCGCCAAAGCCCCGTACACCGCGGCACTGACAGGTTTGCCATCAACCCTGGAAGTGGTCAAGTCTTTCAGAGCTGCAAACGTCGGGTCACTGCTCGCAGTGTTGTAAAAAGAGTTGTGGACACTCTGCTGCACCTGAAGAGGAAGCCCAGCGGCGGCGGCAGCAGCTGCAGCTAAGACAGCAGCCTGACTCTGGTGGTGCTCCATGGGAGGCCTGTTGATTGGGCATTCTCCTGCAAAGTGCCCATGCGCGCCACAGCTGGCACAAGGAACCTTGTTTGTGGTCTGCTGTACCTTTGAGAGCTCCACTGCGAGGGGGCGTCCCATAAATGAGGTCCCGTGAAGACCCTCTATGGCTTGATCTGCATCCTCTTTGCGCTCCATGTGCACAAAGGCGTAGCCTGTTAAAGAAGAGAGCTTTGCTGCAAGAGAACAAGTCGTAATGTTATACAACACCAATGTGTATGCACTGATACAAAGCAGGTGTTTTATTAACACACTTACTCTTTACTTTGTCACAATCAAGAACTTTGCCGTAAGCCGAGAAGAGCTCATACAGGTCTTCAACTGAACAAGAAGCACACAGGTTCCCCACAAATACTTTGGTGGAATTGAGGGGCCTCCCTTTGGATTCCTCAACTACAAGGCTCCGGCCACGGTACTCTCGACCATTCAGATCACGGATGGCACGGTCAGCAGCCCCTTCTCCCTGCAGATGGACAAAGGCAAACTGCCTCAGTACAGTTAAGTGCACCACTTCTCCATAAGGGGCAAAAAGTGCTATTAGGTCATCTTGTGTGGTTTCCAAATCCAGATTCCCAACAAAGAGCTTCACTGCGTTGCTGTCGTCCATTGCACCCCAGAATACCTAGAAATAGGGAACAAGCCTTATTTCTTACTTTTTGGCGGCAAGAACCAATTCATACTAAAACTAAATGGGTCTGAAATTTGAGGAGGTCTTATCAAACGTAAATTGAATCGGTTGAGCTTAATAAAGAGCACCGAGACAACGCAAATCAAATCACGCACGTTTTTCTACTCACTGGCCCACTTTCTATTGTTTTTTTAAATGTGACAAATATGCTTGGCCGTTGTGCTTAAATTATTCATTTTAAATTATTTGACTAAGTTCTGAAAGTTTTAACATTAAAAACCGCGTCGCTAGGCCTTGGGTGGTTTAACGTTATCCACTAACCTGCGTTTCGCATTTTTTAAACGCAAAAACGCCTTTTGTGTGAAAAGCCCCATAATAGTTCGTCTCGCCACTCGTATGTGGTGATAGACACAAGGGAAAAGGCAAAATGCAAGAATCTCCGACAATTAACGTTACAGTTATTAAAAAACAACAACATTGTAGCCCGCCAGATGCGGGGACGCGCTGCTAATCTGAGCTGCGCAGTAACGTTAGCTAGCTTCTAGAAAGCGCTGAGCTCACAGAGTTTAGCTAATGTCAACTGGCGGTGATTTACACGCAGTGTTAGCCAGCTGACATTAAACAGCTTCCTCGAAACATTCGCACCTGCCAGCCACATAAGACGCACCATTTGTGTTCATATAAGCCTCAACGGAATTTTAAAAATCGTATAATTAGCACGCGCGTAGTTAGCTAGCCACGCGCTAAGCTTGTTAGCAACCATAAACAAGGAAATACAAAAATGAACGCTCATCATACTCACTGTTAAAACAATTCAGGGGAAGCGGGAACAAATACGACCAAAAGCTAATGAATAGAGTCGAAGCGTTAAGTTATCAACACGACAAAAATGTTTTGTCGACCCTCTCTCTTACCGAACGCAGTGAACAGACTTCATATCCGTTTCCCGACTGTTTGGCGGTGTGACAGTCGTCCGGTCCGTGCGAGTGCAAATAATAGGTGGAAGGCTCCGGAATTTGTCATTATAAAGTAGCTAAGTTGAACTTAAATATGGGACGTTCACAATTATATAGAGGGAAGAACGTTGGTTTTCGAGTATTGGAAATACGTGCATCATGGGATGCACAAAGAGAAACAGAATGGCAGCCAGATGCATAAACATAAAGTCCCCATAAAACATGGAAACCCAAGTTGCGTGTGTGTTTTCTTTTTGTTTTTGTATATCTGTTCATCAAACTGTTATACCCTATATTTTTCTACATGCAAATGATTATTAGTAATATTTATTTATTATAATCTGACTAGCGATATTAAAAAGATGACCTGGTCCAGTTTTCAGCTGAAAAGTCATTATGACGACGCTGTATTAATTTCAAAGAGGAAATGTGGAAGCTGACATCTATCAATTGTTATTATTATTATCAATCTTACAGAGGTAATGTGGAAGACATAGGTCTATTATTATTGTTGTTGTTGTTGTTAATTTCAAAGTGGGAATGTGGACGGGTGGCAATAAATTATATTATTATATTTGTCTCTTTGTGTTCGTAGTTTGTATCATCAACGCATGCGCGTGCCCAGGTATGAAACACGACTTGTCATGTACGAGAACGCGCTCGCCTGGAAAACACATGTACGAGAAGACGAAACAGACAGTGTGAATCACAGTTTCACACAGAGTCCTGTTGGTATCTTTTTAAACGTGTGCATAATGGAATAACAAGCAAAACCCCCCTAATTATATATTCCCGGACTTTCCACATTTCCAAAAGTAATTCAGAGCATTTCATGGATCTGACATGTTGGGAAAAGTCACGAAGTAGTGTAGTTTGTTCTTTTTGACTGATGAACAGAGGTAAGTGGCTCTTCTTCTCTATCTCTTTTAAATATGGAAATGTGTTATGACTTGTGTTTTATTGTCAGGTTATATTTACAGTAGGCTACAGTAAAACATCTTCTTAGAGAGAACTGGGACTGAGAAAGTTTGCCCTATAGTCACAAAAGTGTAAGATGCTGATTATTATTTTTAAATAATGAAGATTGTGTTTAATAAAGACATTTCAGTGATCATATTGACAATTCACATTGTCAAGATATCTATTGCGTTCTCTTATTTTACACGTATCAGTGTTTCTTTTTTAATTTTATTTATCTACATAAACACTCATATATACAGCCTATATTAACCTACACATTTGCGGAAGTCGCGTTGTCTGTATTGGACTGGGCTGTCAAATATTGTTTAAGTATGTTTCTTTTATAACGTTTGTTGCAGTTACATTCTTTTAAACACTTTCATCTGCTTACAGTATATTTATTATTATTGGGCTGGTATTGAATCATTATGTAATGTATGCATCCCATTACTCTGGCTATATTGTTTCCATTCTTTACATAAAAATGGCGCAGTAGTAGCCTACTGTATACATTTTTAAATAAAAGACATATCCACTGTCATTCCCTTTAGTGCTGGATCCAGTTACAGCTCCTGAAAATATCTGGTTCAGGCAACAATTACAAAACCTCAGCCTGCATTACAGAACAGAGATAATAGCAGCTCTTTCCCAGTGCATACTTAAAGGCTTCCTTCTCACCAGTCTGGACTTGCTCTGCTCATGTCGAGACATAAATGAGGCAGCAATCATTTCAGACCTACAGGACAGGACTACAGTTTTCCAATTCCCGCCCTTATCTATCCATTAAAACTGAATTCACCATTGGAATGTTCAAGAAGAGATGTTGGCCTAAGGTGTTTGGCTGGCATACTCTCAATTGTTACACTATTTATTTTTTCTTTTGAAAAACTATTTTTTTTCCAAATCAATATTTGCCAAATCAAAAGTAGTGTGGGCTTACCAGGAATCCAAATTGTTTTCATGCAGCAATGACAATATTGGTTTATTTATTAAACATCCCATTTTTCGATTTTTTTATTAATTAAAAAATGAATAAAACATTTTATACGTTTTGTTTAGGTCAAATTAAGTAACCCAAAGACAAAAAAAAATTGACTCATGACTTAACTTGACATTTGCAAACAAGTTTTTGAGTCATGAATTATATTCTTTTTTAAGTAATAATTAAGTCAGCTACTAATTAAGTACACGCAGACGTATTAGTAGAATATGCTACACTTTTTTCACGTTTCATATTTTACTGCAGACTTAAAATTGAATTGTTCCCATATTTTCTTTTATCTTCCAAGTAATGTCAAATCATAATAATACTTACCTTTTGCAAAAAAAAAAAAAAAAAAAAAAAAAACTTTACATTTATGCATTTTGGCAGACACTTTTAGACTACATTTTATCAGTTCTTCTCAGTTGAGCCTAGTTTGTAGAATGAAGTTTTGGAAAAGGTATCTGGCCTTTCCTAAAATTTTAACAGTGGAGGCGTGTGTGTCCGTGGGTAGGAATGCCCAGTGGAATATGAAAGCCACTGTTGCCATAGCAGCCATTGGCTCTTGCCAAAAAGTATTCCATACTGGCCCACACAAAGTCAACCTGCTACCTAACCTCACTCAACCAGTGAACGAGTAACTTTAAGAGTCAGCATTAGATAGATATTCATTATATAAGATGTATCAGTGAAAAAAGAAATAATGCATCCACTCCCGTATTTTTATTATTTGTATTTTTTTAAATAGAACTGATTCGCGTCATGATAAAATGCCTTTATTACACTAATCCTTCTCGAAAATATAATTCTCAGTTCCTCTTCACCTTTGGTATAAATGATGCTTCTGTTGTTTCTTCTTTAAGAACAATGCAAGTGTTTTTTGAATGGTATGTGTGAATGCAGAACAAAAACGGTAGAGATGTGGTATTAGTCAGACCGTGACACACCGTTCTCACATGGCCGGGAGAAAAACAGAGCCAGCGAGGGAGTTTCCCATAGCCATTGAAAATCAACTGTCAGAATGAATAAGGAGCCGCATGACTATGTGAAAATAGCCATTCTAGGAAAAATAGTGACAAGTGTATGAGAAACACATGTATGAGATGTGTACATCAATAATTTAAGTCACTGACTTACAAAACTGGTCAGAACTTTCTTTTTTTAGTCAATTGCCAATGTGAACATTCCCAAAGAGGAGAACCAGAGATTCATTGTCAAAGGAGTTGAGATCTCGCTGTCATTCAGAAGATGCAGGGTGACCCAGTGTACGACTATCCTGACTCTCGGCCCGTGGGGGACCGCCGGGCTTGTCCACAGAGAGGATCCCAGAGGAGCATCAGTGTACTGGACCGCCTCCTGCTGACGCACCCTGTGTGGCTCCAGCTCTCGGGTAACTCGGCTACAGCTCTACACATCCTGCGGCGTGAGCCCCCCGGGGTGAGCAAGCACATTCCCCAACACCACCTGCTTTGAAAGGAGACTGATAGCCTACAATCAAACTTTAACACCATTCTTGGAAACTTTTGTTACCTTGCAGACGTTCCTGGTGCGCAAGTCCAGTACATCACAGAAAAAAATGCTGTGTGTCCGGCTGGCAGATGACAGCACGCCATCCTTCATTAAACAGGTTGTCATTCGAGAAGAGGACTCGGGTGAGTTTGTTTAAAAATTACTCGTCATCTTGAATACATTTTAAAGGGATATGTTTTAGCTTACCTCAAGGGCATCCAAGATGTAGGTGTCTTTGATTCCACAGTATTTTCAATTTTGATATTTTTAGGTCAAACCGTTCTTGTGTGTCAGTCATATAATGGAGGTCTATGGTGGTCACCACCTCAAAGAGCATGCACAGAGAAGTCAAAATTAAACATGATTTAATGACTCATAAATGTAAGTACACATTGATGGCCTAAGACACGAAACGAGCGGTTTGTGTGAAATAACGAACAGTATTTATATCGTTTTTACCTCTTGATCACTTGGACGTGGCTGTGGTTACAAGAGATAAAAACAATATAAACACTGTTCGTTTTCATTACCTCCATTATATGACTGACAGACAAGAACGGTTTGACCTAAAAATATCAAAATTAAAACTACTGTGGAAACAAAGACACCTACATCTTGGATGCCCTTGAGGTAAGCTAAAACATACCAAAAATTAACTTATCCCTTTAAGCAAGTAAACAATAAAGCTATGTATTATATATATATATATATATATATATATATATATATATATATATAATACACTTAGTACAATTAGGTTGACTATTCTGTTAATGTTATGTCAACATTAGACATTGACTTTTGGTACCTAAACCATTTCCTTTTTATTAACAGCCTTCTCTTTAGAAAGCTCAGCTATCAGTTTCCCAGATCTGTGCAGACTCGTTGCCTTCTACTGTGTCAGTCGGTATGGATTAGTATTTACTATGTTCTATCTACAACAACATCAAGAGACTTAATATCCTTAATATGATATTTATTCCATTATTTTGCATCTGTATTTTAGGGATGTGCTACCTTTCACTCTGGAGCTGCCTGAAGCAATAGCCAAGGCTTCCTCACACAAACAGTTGGAGTCAATCTCACATATGGGTGTGGGTAAGTACAACTTGATTATCTGTTGAAATGAATTGAAGGTTTGAAATGCGCTTTCTGTCAGGCATTTTATGATGCTTATAACCAATCCCAGAATTATAAGTAGAGCATAGGTTCTTTTTTTGTATATATTTTTTTTGAATATGTGAATGTATATGTAAATGTACCTTGTTACTGTCCACCTCTGCTGAAATGATTTTAGAGTTCATAAATGTCAGCTAATATGCATCATAAAACATGTTCATCATAATCTCGATGCCCTTCTGTATTCCACAGAGTTCTGGAGTTCTCACTTAAATGTCCGAGGTCCTCGTAATGAACCTCCTGCCGCTGACAAACTCTTGCCTCCAACTCCAAGCCCAGAAGACTGCTCAGCGCCCATCAACATAAACCCCACCCCATTCCAGGAGCTTTGCCCAATCCAAACACGGAGTCCCTGTGAGCTGAATTACGGGGGAGGCAAAGGTTTATGCTTCGTCAACCCCCTCTTCCTTCAAGACTACCCTGGTCGCAACGCCATGCGAAGACGTCATCATTTCAAAACCAGCATAAAGGTTCGAGTCTCCACTGAAAACTCCAGCCCCCTGTCACCACCTGTCATCCCACCACCTCCACCACCGTTACTGGCTAAAGCCAAATGCAAAGCAAGGTTAAAAGCTTTAAAAAAGACGATCCCACCAGTTCCAGTTCAGGCTGATGAAGAAGCTATCAAGAAGACTGAGCAGGAAGCCACAGACTATATGCAACCTTGTGTAGTGTCTCAGAAGAAGACCATGGTCACCCCTACTCTTTCCCCCACTGCTGAAGAAGACGACTATCAGATGCCCAAGGCTCTTCAGAAGGTAGAGACAATTCAGCACTTATTTTACCTGACATTTTCAGCTTAGTTTGTGTTTTCTTGACTGTCTTTTTGCGCTTTTTGGCCCAGATGAAAATCCTGGAGCAGAAAGGACCGGAAGAAGAAGAGGATGAGGAGGAAGAGCTTGTTCTAGAACAGCGACACGCACCGTCCCTTAGTGAGCTGGACAGCAGCAGTTCGCTCAGCAGCCTCGACGAGACCGAGGACAGTCCCGAGCGTCCTCCCCTCACGCGAGGAACTAGCAACCCAGTTATGTCGCCTCCCAGGAAGTCCATGTCCGCCCTACGCAAGATGAGCGCCGCCTTCATATCGTTTTTCGCCCCAGAGAAGCGAGTGGCGCGGATGGTGGAGGACCTGTCTCGTGATCGCCGCATGGCGTTTGGCGCTCTGGTTCAGGACTTCCTGCGGCAGCAGAGAGAGGCACTGAAGCCCCAGTGCTTGACCTCTCCTGTACAGCTGCTGCAGGATTTGCGTCTCTTCATCAGTCAGGCCAAAGCGTTTCTTCTGGAGTGTGGAGAGCTTGAACCTCCGATTGAAACACTTCTGACTGAGAACGAGAAAGGTAATTAAATCATTATGATTTAATGTATGTTGTCAGTATCATTCAAACAAGTTAAATGGTGAAATACCACTAGAGCCCGACCGATAAAGGATTTTGAAGGATACAAATATTTTTTGGTTTCAAAATCCGATATATTGGACGATATTTTATTTATTTAATTTTTTTTTTTCAGAAACGCTCAACAAAACATTAACAGATTTCCCTAACATTAGTTATTTGTAGTTATTTATGAGTTGTAACTAAAATAATATGATAATGCATTTTAAAAAGAAACTTGTTTCTTTTATTTTCACAACAGAACAGACTGACGATAGTGGCATTAGCTCGCTTTATGGTTAGCTAGTCTATGATGAGCCATAGTTTAGCGATGGATAATGCCATACTGCAAATTGTAAAACATACATTTTCAATATTACAGGCCAAGGAGAGATGATCCGTCTCATTGCTATAACTGTCACACGCTATTAAAGAAATACTTCAGTCACATTTTCAAAAGTTAAAAGGACAGTCAGTCAACTAAACTAACAACGCAACATAATTATTACTAGCTAATTCCGCTTCACTCTCGGCTTATTTAACAGCAGCAAAACTGGACATGATAGTCACAAATTTTGTCATGCTTATTTGAGTTAAGAGAACTAATGGGGATGTTCTTTTAATTGTTATTCAAGCAGCGTGTTTTGTCCATTTGTATTTTATTTTTAAAATATTCATTTATCGGCCATTATAACTGCCGATACCGATATTTTGGAAAATGCCTAATATCGGTCGATAATATCGGCCTGCCGATATATCGGTCTGGCTCTAAATATGTTTTCCCGTGTGCAGACCAAGCGCTGGAGAAAGCCCTGTTCCGCTGTGTGCTGAAGCCTCTGAAGCCTCAGATTGATGCGGCTCTTCGGACCCTGCACAAACAAGATGGTTCCTTCCAGAGAATGGCGGACAACTTGCAAAGAGCCAAAGGAGCCTCACCGCAGAAGCTCTTTGGGGTTGAGGTGGGCGTTCCTGACGCCCAGGGCATTGAGAAAATTAAGCACAAGTTGACTCTAATGCAGCGCGCTTACTCGCCCATTGACAAAGTGCTGCTGCTCCTGCAGATCTGCAAACTCATTTACAAAGCCATGAAAAACAAATCAGGTAATGAAGTTCTTAAATAGCATTGGTTTATTTATGTAGATTTATTTGTGCGCATACATGCACTACCGTTCAAAAGTTTGGGGTCAGTTAGATATTTTAAAGGGGTTAAAACTGGCTTTTTAGATTTTATTATATTGTTGAGGTCAATTCATGACGTTCACTTGGTTTTTACTTTCAAAAACATCCAAATGAATAAGTAATAGGCTATTTTCTACCCTATTTTTGAGCCTAGCTGAAAAACGCTCGTTTTTTATGGGCGTCTCGCACTGAAGACTGGAAGTAAACGCCCACTGCCCACTGAGTTAGGCCTATGTTATTAGTTATGCGTGTAATACGCGAATCGGTGGGCGGGGCTAAGCCGGCCACAGAAATCTTTTTCTGCAGGGGTGGTGTTTTATCCTCTTTGACGTCCTAGTTCCCCGAGTCGTTTGCTGAGCCTGGTGTCAATAAAAGCTTTCATTGGACTAACAAGGACGTTTTCAGTTCTGAAACTTAGAGGATATTCTTATAATATGATGGCCTCTTAGATGTCAAAAGCTCAAGGAAACTTGATTTCTCAGTTCATCACCCCTTTAAGTCCCCCGGTAATCAATAATTTTATCCCTCAAAACTCATCTTTGATCACCAAAATTACATATTTATACTAAAATAGCTTGGATGCCTCATTTAGCATAAACGGTTCTATGAATATGCAAATTAGCCCCGCATCAACTCACTCAAACCAGCTCAGAGATCCACTCATTGATGATCACACATTGACGTGATTGGTTACAAGGTAGTTTGTGACGTCAGAAACACCAGGGATGTTAAACCGTGTTTTTGAGTCTGTCTTTGGTTCACTGGTACAATGGTGTTGACATGAATTTGCACATGGTTTGTCTTAAAAGCATATTAAAAACATATAAACAACATTAAAAGTGTCTTCAGTGTGACATGATCCTTCAGAAATCATTCTAATATTCTGATTTTCTGCTTAAGAAACATTTCTTATTATTATCAATGTTGAAAACAGTTGTGCTGTCAAGTTTTTTTTTGAGGAACTCATGCTAAATGCATCCTTGCTATCTGTATTTCGAAAAAACAGGTCAGGAATTTGGAGCGGATGACTTCCTGCCCGCTCTATCTTATGTGATGGTCCTGTGCAATATGCCAGAGATCTCTCTGGAGGTGGAGTATATGATGGAACTTCTAGAAAGCTCTTGGCTTACAGGAGAAGGTATGGATAAATACTTAGCTAATTATTATTATTTATTTGTATTATTATTATTAATCATTGATATTATTGTCTTGAAGGGGGGTACTATCTGACAAGTCTCTATGCCAGTCTGAGTCTGATTCAGAGTCAGCCAGAGGATGTGCCACCCAGCGGCCTCACAAACCAGGCCAGAGAGTCTCTGAAAGAATGGAGTCGGCGTCGGAGCAACGAGACCACAAATCAGAAAGACAACAAATTGCCCCAGGTCAGATATACTGGTTGAACAAAGCAAAGTACATCCCTTGCTGAATCATGCATTAAAGCTTATATCAGAAGTAGCAACAAAAAACAAGAACTCTATGTGCTGTTTCTATGCCACAGAGATTTATAAAGGTGCTGTTTCAAGATGATGACCGTAGCATAGTGAAAACTCTAATGTGGAAGACTTCGCTCGATGGTGAGGCTATGGCTCAGCTCTGTGCTTCGAAGTTTGGGGTGGACCGGCCGGAGGATTACAGCCTGTACTGGAGGAAAGACGGGGAGTTAACGCCTCTCCCGTCCAACACACAGGTTCAAGACCTGCAGAGCATGTGCGCGAGTGGGGTTCCCCTTATTTACCAGGTGTCCAATCAGGCTGAAAGTTCCCAGAAGCTGAACAGAGGGGGCGCAGTTGATCTCACAGAGGAGGCTTCATAATATAGGGCTTTTATTTAATGCTACAAAGTAGGTCATAGCATATTCTGTATTTTATACAGCATGCCTGGTTTCTCGCATAAAAGCTGATATAATAATAATCTTGTAACGGAGCTCAAAAATGATTTAAGCTGTATTTCCACTGAATTAATTTAATGTTGACTGCAAGATTACCCTCTTAGAAAATGTATTGGCATCTATGGTCCTATGGAGAACCTTCAACATCCACTGAAACTTTTCATTGCACAAAATGTTTATAGTAAAAAAGGTTCTTTATATTATTATTATTCATTAATATTATTCACACTAAGAAGAAAAAAAATATTTGAAGAAAAGTTGACTGAAAGGTTCTGTGGGACGCCAAAATTTATTCTATGGTATTGCAGCAAAAAATTTTTAAAGGGACAATGTGTAGGAATTTCTCCTATCTAGCGGTGAAAATGTATTTTGCATTCAAACGATTTGTGCTCTCCAGCGCCTCATTTTTCAAATGCGTGTTGCATCTATGGTAGCCTGACAGGATGTCTTCTAATAGCACTTTGTCGAGTGTTCCTTCGGGTGAACAGGTTTGTTATTTCAAACAAACAGCAACAATGAACAAACAAATATTACAGTATGAATTACTGACTGAAAAACATGAATATTGTAATAAGTAGTTATGCCTTCTTTATTCGTTATATTTTCTGAAGTGCGGTCATCATCGACTTTTAACTATAATTGTTCATCTGTCTACCAAACAATGAAAAAAAGCTTGTAATTAAGACTGTAACATTAACTTTCCGGTCGAGAAGAAAGGAAGATTTTTGAAATCTTTCTCCTGCATTAGATCTATCCACCTGGAAAAAGCTATCTCGGCATTAACTTTTGTTTTTTGTAATCTCCGGTCACGTTTCCTTTTACGATCTATTTTGGACTTTTCTGGCGACAAGGATTTGCAATGCACCCGGGGCCGTGACAAGTGCCTCTCACTGCTCTGCTCCTCCGTTTCTCCTGCTTTCAGTCATGTGACGCTGGCTGGCTCTGAACGAAAATGCGTTGGTCTAGTACTTTTTGTCCCTCTCTGCTATTATAGTTTTTCAAGATGGCGGAACTACATGGAAGCCTCCATGGACCAACCCGTCCCATGTATATAAAGATAATACATTTTTTGTTTATGAGGATAAGTCAGATAATTGGCAGAGGTTTTTGTACACCATTGAGGACATATTTATGAATAAAAATACTGATTTTAAATAATAAAATACAAAGTACACATTGTCCCTTTAAGAGTGCAAAATGCACAAATCAGCTTATTTTTATGTCCATTACTGATAATGGATGGTGTTCAGGTGTTGTGTGACATGTCATTGGGCTAAATTAAAAGGCATTTCCTCTTGTTTTATTACTTAGAATTGTATTATAGGTTGGTTATTAATGACTTGATTCAATATCACGACTTTCAGTTTTCAATTTTTTCCCCGCCTTTTAGTCTTTTCTAATGTAAAAACTGTGTGGGTAATTAACCAGTTATGGAAATTTCTCATTTATGAGATGGTCAGTATTGAGTTACTGGATATTATCTTATTGTTCACCTTGTATCATGATAATATTTATATGAAATGCATTGTACAAATGTTTTGGTATTTTGAAAGTAAACAAAAATACAATATGTTCGGAAATACTTGGTTTTATTTGGTAGGGACTGTTGATTTTCACAGTCCACACTGAACACTTGGAGGAACCGAACAGCCTGTAAACCAATGAACAACTTATATTCTTAGGAATGAATACAACCATTTCTCCTAGATGTGAATCAGCATATTAACACTACACTAGATATGATCTGTAGTTAGCGCAGCGTTTGTTTCCATTTTAAAGTAAGTTGAGAAAGTGTGTTACGTGTTGTGATTACATAATTCCCACCCTCACACGGCAAGTTCACTCATCAGCGCTTTCACATGCCTATGTGGGAAGCGTGGGCTGCGGTCAGATTCGAAGCAGGACCAGGAATTTCTAATCAAAGCTCTAATCAGAATTGCCTTTGTTTAGAACTGAATAGACAAAAAATAAATAAAAATAGTGGAAGGGTAAAGCACTTGGGGTTATGTTCCCGTTTTTAAAGTGAGGTTCTTCCTTCCTCCCATGTGTGAATGGTTTTATAATCATTACCAGTGTACTCTGCAGCCTTTTGTTCATTTCCGAAAGTTGCTGTGACTCAGTGTGGTCCAATACTCGTCTGAGAGGACTTCCACAGCACTGTGTCCTCTCAGCACCAGCAGGTGGAATCCGCGCGGGTCATTTCCAGCAGCTGGGTCTCTACCTCCTCGTCATCTTCGGGGAAGCGTTCAACGAAGGACTGGATGAGCCCTTCAGCGCTGCCTTCGTACTCAACCAGCTTCACAGCGTCATCTACAACACAAACAGCAGCACGTTATTTCATTTGTGTATATGTGTATCTATGTTTCTGTCACTGATTATACAAGAATTGTCATTTTTTATATATGGCTGAAGAAAGGAGGCTAAACACAAACCTTTGAAGAAGGTGTTAGCCTGGACAAACATCTTACGAGCTTCCTTACGGAGCAGAACCGTCTCTCTGAGGCGCAGGAAATCGTGGGCGCCGTCAGAAGTTACAGCAGAGTATCCTTCATACAGAGCCCTTCCTCCCTCTACGTCGGCTGTCGCCTTGTGCACCTTTACAAAAAAAGCAAATCTCGGTTCTGTTCCATTAAGCTGCAGTCACACTAGACTATGAGCACACAAAAGTTCTACGCACACGGCAGTGGACTTTTTTTTTTTTTTTTGATAAAAAATAAAAACATAAATTCAACATAACAAATAATAATTATAAATCCATAAAGTAAAAATATACAATCTACTCCACTTTACTGCAAAAGAAATGTGTGTTCATTTGATTCCCGCCGTGACTTATTGATCTTCTATTGGTCACGTCTTCACGTGATATGAATTTGAAGGTTCACCAAGAGTTCACCAAACTTGAACTTTGGAACACACCGAAATGCCAGACTTTTGAAAATTAAAAAAAATATATATTAATATAAATATATAAAAATATTAATAAAACTTTACATTTTATTTCAGCTAGTTGCATTTCTTATTTTTGTTTAGTTTCACTTGAAGTACTTAAATGACTAAAACTGAAATACATTAATAAAAACTATAAAAAAAGTTAATAAAATTAATAACACAAAATTACTAACACTTTAAATAAGACAAAATATATAATACTAAAATTAAAACCATTTCAAAATAAAAAATATAGGCTAATAGGACATTAATAGGGCTTTTCACACTGCTTAACCCCAGGTTATCGCCGTTCTAAAGACCACTTTTAACCCCAGAGCGTTTTACTATTTACAATTTAGATGCGGGTTAAGCACCACTTTTTACCCAGGGTTATGAAACCCTGCTCTGAAGCAGTTTAGCACCGCTTTTGCAGTGTCAACTCCACATTACGGCGCAAAACGTGTACAGTGTGAAACGATGCGTGTTACAATGTTACTATATATGCTCTATATTCATGTATATAAACAGTCGTTTCTGCATATGACAGAAAAAATATCAAAACGCAATGGAAAACACGACAATTGGAGTGAAGAGACCATCATTCTTACCTTAATAGTTAGAAAATTTCACTCAGAAAAAAAAACTTAGTATAACAGTCAGCAATGTGTAATATGAGGACGCACAATATATTAGAGCCTTTATGTAAACCGGTCACATGCTGCATTTGAGTCAGTAACACTGACACCACAAATGTGTGAATAAGGACTTTAACCCGGGGTTTAGGAATGTACTACCGTGTGATATTAATACCAGGAGCTTATTAATACCAGGATTAATTGTTAACCCTGGGTAAACACACCCGGGTGTGAAACATGAATAAAGATAACCCAGGATCCCATTAACCTGGGGTTTAGAATGCCCCGGGGTCAACTATTTCAAGTGTGAAAAGCCCTAAAGATAGTAAAATAACAGTGATTTAGTCACATTATTGTATCAGTTTACCAAAGGTTGACACATTAAATAAACAGACTACTATATATAGATATGCCTTTTATTTCTATAACTCACTAAAATGCAATGTCATGTGGTCATACTACTGTAGGAAACGTTTTGTATTGTATAATGTATTCTGTTTCTCATACTATTTTTAATAACAGGTATGCAGTGCAGTATAATCTAGTTAGCACTAGCAGGACGCTAGTTCCATTTGAACAGCAAACTGGTTGTACCTGCAGTTTACAGAGGAACCTCTGGATGGCGCTCTTGCCCACTGTGTGGATCTTGCTGCGGTCGAGTGTTATGACAGCGTCTGGTCGTCCATCTGTCCCCGTGCACTCCTTCAGACCAACCAGCCCCTCTCCAGCCTCCAGCAGAACCCGCAAAATCACAAACCGGGCCTGCATGTGTGCCTATGACAGACAGGACAATGTCAAGACGAGAAGATAATCAAGCAAAGAGTAATGATTCCTGGACAGGCACACATCTAAATCTCACCTGTCTCCAGCTCTTGCTCTCTTGCGTGTAGAACTCCAGACCTAGCAGGCCAGCACGCACCATGGTCAGCCAGTTCACATACACCACCTCCTCAGCATCATCTCCTTCATGCCCGAAAATACTGCCACACACAAAAATTGCTAAGCATTTATAACTGAGTGAATCCACACAGAAGTGACTAAAGGTTCAGTGACTCACCTGAGCACCTGTTTGTTGAGACACAGGTAGAGACCTACACACTCAGCCCGACACTCCTCATAGGACGAGGCGATAGTGGAGAACTTGCTGTCCCATGTCTCGCTGCCCTTGTACCAGCTCGAGATCTGAAAGCCAAAAGGTCCATTTTATGACTGTGATTGGCAGCGCAAAGTTCATAAAGAGGGTAAAGCACAGTTGAATCCAGTAATGAAGGATGACAAGGTAACCAACTCACCAGTTCCCCTGTTTCTGGATTACGTACAGCAGTTTCATCAAAGTTGAATTTTCCCTTATCATCCTGTTTTAATACAAACACATAAGATGAATAAACTGTGAAACATTTGTATTCATGAAATATATGAATACAAATGTATGTGTATATACAGTGTTGGGTGTAACTAATTACTAAGTAATTAGTTACTGTAATTTACTTACTTTTCCCTTGAAAATGTAAAGTAAGGGATTGCTCTTCATTTATCTGTAATTTAATTACAGTTACTTCTGATGTAATTGAGGTAAATACTGTGTATAGATCAATCCGATCTCACAGCGATTCGTATGCATTTTATGAGGTGTCTAAATTGTACGATCGCACTCGTACAAATTCATATAAATTATTGTAAAATAGGTATGAAAAAAGTGTGAAATGTCATGAGATCAGACATAAAACAATAGTAGGTTTGTCTGATGTTAAAAAGTATGTTTTTATAATGTAATCTTCTCCACCTTGGTCAGTTTAAGGATAATTTTTGCAATTTATTTGAATGAATTAAAACAGATTCATGTCTATCCTTGTATTATTCAGCTGGTTGAGATAGATATTGGATTTTGAAAGTAATTAGTAATTAAAAGTAATTAAATACTTTTTAGAGAGAGTAATTAGTACAGTAATCTAATTAATTACTTTTTTTAGAGTAACTTACCCAACACTGTGTATATACATGTATGTATGTATATCCCACAAGTCAAATATATACAGCAACATATTGATCTGCTTGTGCTTCTCTACCTGAACAAAGAGCTTCCCACTGCCATGCCCCAGCAGCTCATGGAGTCCAACCTGCACCTCAAAAGAAGGCCCTTTCCATTTGATGTACAGGTCCTACAAGCATAAAGCCACAGAGGAAGAAAAATGACCACTCTGAACCTCTACTGCAACATTTTTTATTTTGTTAGACTATGACCTGGTTTCACAGAAAGGGCAGTGACATATTTTAAGACATGTCAGTGCAAATAGCTTTCAGTTAAAACAGCTCAAACTTGCATTTTAGTCTGGGACTAGGTTTAAGCCTTGTCTGTGAAACTGGGGGTGTGGGTGCCCAATCATTATCCTGGAGATCTACCTACCCCTGATCAAACACACGTCTGTAATTATCAAGTGCTCCTGAGGATCTTAATTAGCTGCTTCAGCTGTGTTTGAGCTGAACTTTGCAGGAAAGTAGATCTCCAGGAACAAAATTGGGCATTACAACCTTACAGACAGCGGTCATCAGCATTACCTTGTCTTTCTCCTCAAGAAAGGTGAGCTTGTCTTTCTGCGTGGCATACGCAACAGCCAGCACATTCCCAAGGGACACGTTCTTGAAACCTTCTGTCTGTCTGATGTCGTCATCTACAGACAGATAAATGGTTAAAACTTCTCATAGAACATCTATCAATCAAATTTGACTGCATATGGAAAAATCCATGTCAGTTCAGAGGACTCACAGTTTGGAATGTTGATTCCTGCAGGGATGCCGCTGCCGGCGAAGGTGAGTACGTCCAGAGAGGTGAAGTCTGGCTTGAGGAAGCTGTCCTTCTCAAAGGCAGGAGGCCAAGGCAGCTCTGGAAGCAAGACCTCGGCCGAGCCCACCAACTGAGCAAAGCGAGCACTCATGGCCTTGTTCACCACGGCAACAAAACCTGTTGGGTACGATGGTAAGTGTGAAGGGGAGAAGGCATAACTGGTTATCTACAACAGTTTCTGGTAGGGGTGTAATGATACACGCATTCGTATTGAACAATTCGGTATGAGGCTTTCGGTACGCATATTTAAACCGAACGGTTCGTTGGACAATTTTTCCTTACGGATAAAAAATTTCAAATGGCAAATTTAACGTAAGGGGAACGAAACTGAGCAACTCATTATTGTGTGGTTGATGGACCGTTTATCAGTTTGGACCAATGCAGCGCGAGCTGATCTTAATCAAGCAGCACTGTTACTACACAGCCAAATCCATTAAAGAATTCAGTAAATTCGTCACTGAAGTAATAAAATAGCGGCAGACTCAAAAACTCAAGATCTAGTGAGAAACATTCACATTTCTCCATTATTAACGGATAAAACAGCACTAACGTGGGAACCGGGAAAAAACATTGTGCCATGAATGAACTATTCAGTGTCCACAGGTCAGCAACAGTCACCATGGATTTACTGTAAAACACTACTAACTGTAACTATGGACGTTTGGCAGGAATTGTAGGCTATAATACTTTCAAGTAACATTACGTCGTACAATATTACATTACTAACATAACTACTACAATATTACATTTAATTTTGTCCAAGGAGCTGTTTTGTTTTATATGCTCCTACGAAGTCAAGTATAGCTAAGTAAAAAAAAAAAAAACTACTATATTATTATATATTAATAATGATACAAATAAAAGATTCCAAACTACTTATGAACTTCATTCTTTTAATGAGATTTAATAATAATAATAATCATTTATTTTAATTCACGAATTAAAAACATGTTCATCATAGATTAGGTGTATTCAAGCCATAGTTTGTGTGAATTACATTTTTACTTGTATTTTTTAATAAATGAATAGATCTGGACAAGAAATGACCAAAAAATATTTGATCTTACCTTCAAATTCACCTCTTGAGCCAAATGGATCTCTGTAGCTCTCAATAAACCCAATGTAACTGATAAAAAATAAATAAAATAAAAAGGTTTGTAATAGAAATTCCAAGTTGGAAAGAACAATAAGTCTAGCTCAACAATGAAATCAAACATTTAAGCCTATATCAATAGCCTGTGGCCTATTTCACAGAGTTGGTTTCAGTGGCAATCCAAGTAAGTTTGAGTTTACTTTGCACAATCTGCAGATTTCGTGTGATTGGCTGTTGTTTATAGGTGCATGTGCTCCAAAGTTAAAAAAAAAAAAAAACTGGGGATAAAATCTGAGTTGACAAAGAACGTTTATAAAGAGTGTTGTGAAACTGTTGAAACTAAACTGGGTTTGGATTTGTTTGGCTTTGTCAACTTTAAACCTACTCAGAATTTGTTCAATTAGCTTTGTGTAAAAGGCCACAGCTCTGTTAAAAATGAGTCAGACACCTCTCCACAATAGGTCCTTTGTCTTTGATCCAGAAACGAGACCCTTCTTTATGGGCTTCCACTGAACCATAGGTGAAACTGCGGATGTACTCCTCCAGCATCTTTTTCTGGTTCTCATTGGCTGCATGAGCCTGAGACAGAAAACAACAATAGCAGCTTTACTCATGCATCAAATGGTCATGATGTTCATTTCACATCCAAAAGTATCATTGATTCAGTGTTTTTTCAGGTTGAATGTTGTCTTACCTTGGCTTTTTCCAAGTTCTGACACACTTTCTCCATAAGAAAGGAATAATCGCCCCTCTTAACAGAGAACACAGCATCCTCAAATTCATATCTACCACAAAAAGTTTCACTACCCTTCTCAGCATCACAGCAGTCTGCAGATCAGAGGGGAAAAAAGGAAAAAACTCTAATGAAATGAAAAGTAATACACAACATATAAACTGGATTGTAATTGGTCTGTATACTCACCCGCCTTTTCAGCAGACGCCAAACGCACCTCATAGCACCGCTTCCCATCTATTTCAGTCTTGAACAGACGGGTGTTGTAGGCACTCAGTTTCTACAAGGACAGACAGAGTACTCTAAATGTGAGCGAATATTTAAGTAACCTAGTTCATTCATGCTGTCAGTAAGGATATAACAAGATCAAGTTACATCTGGTTCAATTGGTTCAAATGACCTATCAGGAGCAATCAATGAACAATACTTTTACAGTTTTTATTAATTTAGATTAGTTCATTTATGAGTGGTCAGAGATGGTTACAGTTTTACCATTTCATAATTCTTCTAGTCATCTACCTATAGCAGCTAATAAATAGGGAGTCTCACATATTCACAGAAATTATCTTCCACATTTTAAAACAAAGATGATACCTTGGAGTCCAGAAATTTCTGGGCAAACTCTGCATCTTCTAAGCTGCAGTTCCCTGAGAAGTAAGTCGTGATCCCCTAGAAGAGAATAGTAAAACATCAACCTGAGACTAAGCTGTAAAAAAAGGCTTCATTTTTCCTATTTTACCTTGTCACCCAGACCGAGCTGTTTCAGCTTGTCTTCTAGGGAGTAGAGGGGCTCAGAGCAGCAGCCCCACAGCGCCTCTATGTCTTCGGGGCTCTCCTCAAACACCAGGCTCTCCCACACAAGAGCCTTGAACTTCTCCTGCATATCAAAAAGAGATAGTTATCAAATGCTAAAACTGTTGAGATGTTGTCTACAAGTATGACAGATTACACATATTAGATAGGGTGTTTCACCTTTGGTAGGTTGGGGATAAATTTGGTGTCCCCAAAGGACTTGTAGTTCCCCATGTTTGCATAAATCCCAGCAGCATATACGAGGAAGGCCTAGAATGACACAGAACTTTGTTACGACGATGAACACCGATGTCAACTTTGGTGTTCGTAACAGGTCATTTCACCTGATATTCCTCTGCGCTCAGTCCAGCTGCAGTCGCCGTTGCCTTCAGCTGCAGTGGCGTCTGTGCGCGGAACAATTTTTGCAGCAGTACGTAGATGTTGGCGGACTCAGGAGACGTCTGGATCAGCACGGCCAGGCCACCGTACCAGGACGCTCGAGAGAGGTAGTGTGCATACAATTGCTCTTTGGGAGACAGCAGCCTGAAAGCCTCCCGGCAATCCAGAGCAGAGATCCCGATGTCATTTGGGAGGTAATACTGAGAGTCCACCATTTCAAACTTTAGGCAGCTTGTTCCCTCTTCACTGAAAATTCACAAAAGCATGAAGGAGTCAATGATAAAATATCCTACTATGCAAAATAACAAAATTACCTGATTGTTATTGGGGATTTATCATAGCTTTACATCCTGATCTTGCGCTCTCTCTCACATAGGTAATATAAGCCATTGGGCTACCATCTTTTGAGTTTAGCTTGAGACCCTTTCACATAATTTCCTGATCTCAGAAAAATGACATAGAATGGCTAGAGGACGCAAACACGTCCCGGGATTGATCCCGGTATTGATCCCGGGGTGGGGACCTAGTAACATTCCTGGAATCAGTCACGGAGCACTCCCGGACCAATCCCGTAAGGGGTGTGTTGTAGTGATGAAACGTGTGACGTAGTTACTGTAATTCTTTGACCGGGTGTCTTAAATGCAGATCAAAGTTCACATTGCACATTAACAAAGAAGAAAGTTTGTGTGCTTCAAGGAACAAAGAAAAAAGTGTGTGTTTCGTCAAGGAAAAATAAGGACGAAAAAATGTCTGCATTGCACGTGATGTCACGTGTATTGATGGGATCTTTACAGGATGTGTGTGAAACCTTACATCACAATAACTGTAAAACCTTGCATCACAAGAAGTGTATTGTATCATCCAAACATTTATTAACTAAACAGAATTTCATTAAGTTTAGTGACAACATGTTACAATGTTTACATGGTACAATGACTTGTAGCCTACTGTTTGTATTGGTGCCTAACACAAATTACATGATTTCAATTCATAAGCTAGCAATTTGATTCCAATCTTGACTCATTTGGCTAAATATCAGGAACAGTAGCTAGGCCTACATTCATGTTAATTTTTCTCAAGGGGAAAAAAAACTCTTAGCTAATGCTGTAAACACAGGGAGCCCAGTCAGCTGGTATTACAGGTTAAAATGAGTTTTTTATACTAATGTTATAAATTGTTGTTATGATATGAGTAAAAATACAATAAATATGCAATATAGTGCATATATTTAGCCTCTGTACAGTTATTTTTTTCTAGCTAAGTAACATCCTATGATTATTAAAATGGGTTTCCTGGGGTAACTTAACTTAAATGTAACGTTACGTTACATGTGACATTGTTCTCCAGCTGTTTGCTACGGTTGAAACACCGACTGCGCGATTACATGAGACGTGATACATTTCGATAAATTGTACTGTATCTTTCAAAAATATCTTATAATATTCATTCATGTTTATTTACTATTAAGTTAACTAAGCAACGTTAAATAGGATAATGATCAGTTTGTCGCTTGAACTGAGGCGATAAAGCGATTTGTCAGGTCACATTTAAGAGCGCCAAAACGGATTTATTATTTAAATTTCGTAATAAAATTGACATAATTTGAAAGCTGAGACTTTGTTTCATATCAAAATTAACTCGGTCTTTCTCGTCTGTCGGTGAGAGTTGACAGTCCTGAGTAGATACTTTTGGATATGTAACGTTAAATCTGTAGACATAGCGTCACAAGATTGGCTTTACGGTTAAAAGGTGAATCAGCATTGACACGGTGAGTTTCTCTTTCACTTCTGGGACTTAACTGATTAGCTAGTACCGTTAGCACACTTGATAGTGCAGGAACTCAGACAATGAAATCCCGCAAATCTGTGCCATGCAAACAAATATGAAATATTTTTTATACAAATATCCTATCATCTACTATAGTGAACATACACTTTCTCTCTAAACAATATCCCATATATTAACAACAGCATGTAACACAAGTTCTACCTGAATTGTGCGTTCACTCCTGTCAAAATGAGGACCAGCGAGTGTCCGAGTCTACTTCCGCTACTCATTCAATGGAATGATCCGCCCCTCAGCCAATCAGACGACGGAGAAGATAACTGACTGGCGTGACATCCAATAGGAACACCAGGTGAAAAAGAGGTTTCGAGTGATTGAAAATGAAGGCAACTGTAGGAGGGGATTCTTTTTATGTTTATTGAAATGTATTCATATATTATTATACAAATCAAATGTATATATTTATTTATTCAATTTATTTCTCGTAACAGTGGATTCAGTCTTAGCTAATTTAGCTTAATTTATGAGTACCGGTAATATACATTTTTTCCTCAGGTTTGAAATATTTCATGAAATTCCATCAATTTCTGTTCCCCTTACTATTCTAATAGAATGTTATCATAAAAATTAGCAAAATTCCCAAACATTAAAATCAGCCCAGTGTTTATCAGCTAAAATACACGATTCAATAGCCATTTCAAAACAAAAGACTCCGCTTTTCTCATTTGTCGGTGGCTAAAAGAGGTGTAATGCCAAATGCTCAAATTTGAATAAAATGTAATATATAGTTTATAGTTTTTTGTGATAATGTAGATGTCCTTCAACATTATAAGCAGATTACAACTTTTTTAAATGTTAGTAAAAAACAACAAAAAATGTTGGTTAGCAGAACTGACATGCTTATTTATAGTCTGAGCAGAATACATTATCTCAGTGAACAAAGCTGTGGTTTAGGGCAAGCCAATCACAGAAAGCAAATGTCAATAAATCCAACAGGTCTTTGTACAATTTATTCCTTTATAGTTTTACTTGGGATTTGTTTACAGATGCCTGTGTTCCACCTTGGTTCCAATATTTGCTTTGACCAAAAAATGGTTAAAGTTAGATGCATACATCTGCATTTCAGAGAAAAAGTAATGTGTTTAGAAAAGTATCAAAGGACCAACATGAAAATGAAGAGTTCACCTGCAGTGATACCAACTATGAAATGTATCCTTAAAGATATGTTTGGGCAACAGACAATGGACTACTATTACAAGCCCAAACTCAGACATGTTTTTCAGCGATCCATGTGGGGAGTGTTTAACTTGAAGGTAATGTTTCAAGCATTTGAACAACTCTGTTAGTTTTCGGATTTGATTTGGGTGTTAAAATTACTGCGGCACTTTTGCATGATTGGAGATTTTACTAAATGTGTCATATTTGTTGTATTTATTAATTCCATATGTTTTAAAGAATGTTAATAGATTATTTAAAGTGTTTTCTTATTCTAAAGTTAATATCTACTAAGACCCCTAAATGTTTGCTTTGTTCGAATTATTACTGACATGCACTGTCTGTATTTGATAGTGTCAATCATGTCTTTATCTTTGCTAACTGCCAGCACACAGGAAATAAGAAAATGATTGTTCTTATTGCTTATATGAATTATTAAATGCAATCTTTTTTAAACTGGTAGTTTTCCTAGAATCACGAGTGGCCGTTATTCCAGAACCAAATCTACAAGATCTGAGTTCTCAGAAAAGTAAAAAAAAACATCTTGTTTTGACAGATGCAAACCTATTGGTGATTAATGGCCTACTGTCACATGGAACATGAAGGGAGGGTCTTCTACAGAGAAAATGGGTATAAACACAAGTATGTCCAGAGATTACAAACAGTGAGTATGACCACATGCCACCTGGTAACATGCCTGACATGAGCACATGATCATTCGAGTGATCTTAAGTTATTAAAATGACCTCAAAGCATTTGGAAACGGTTAGGGATCTGAGAGAAGAGTGCCATGGAAAAGCTAGAAGAAAGCAAATGTTCTTTGAGACGAAGAAAAGAAGGTGAGTACAAAAACTTATCTTAATCCATGATTGTAACATGCAAATACAAAAGATTTTGCACATAACAAATATTGAATATAAACACTTTAGATTTAGAGTTCGCTGTATTCCACTGAAGCTGCATTTGCAAATATTTTTATTTTTTTATTATTTTTTTTTTTATAGTGCCAATGCATTCATTACTAACAAACTTGAGGAATTAGGACAAGACATATATACAAAAAATATTTTATTTTTATTTTTAACTAATTTATCTCATAAAATCAATCAAGATGCTTTAAATTGGAAGGAAACAAACATTTTAAATAAACTAAATGTAGTAAGTAGACTGTCTGCTAGAATGCAAATGATCGTTAATTTCCCTCAGTTATCATAGTATCTTTTTTAAATGAATGAAATATTCACATAATACCCAAACAACAAATCAGTCATGCACTATGCAAAAGTTTTGAGAAGTTTGAAAAGTTTAACAGAGGAATTTGGACAATTATTTACATGCCACTTGATAGTACTTAAATATACTTAAAATATACATATTATATATATATATATATATATATATATACATATTATATATATATATATATATATATATATATATATATATATATACTTAAAAGTGCCCTTTTCCTTAATTTTTAAGAATGTTTTTATTCTACTTATTAAAATAAATAAAATGAAGATAAATTAAAAGACATTTTTTATCCAAAATTACTTAGGAGCAAAAGCAGTAGCCCAATTATTATTACCTTTATTTATATACATGTTTAGGCAAAAAAGCATGTTAAAAGCATATGCACATGGGGAGGCATTATCAGAAGGCATGGCATTGTATCAGAAGCTGCAGGCAACTACACTTGGTGGTGATAAGACAAAGTGACGCAGTCATGACGTCTCTTTTTCCATCAGTAACGATGCTGCCCTCTGTCTTCAGTGAAAATGATGCAGATTCTAGTGTTCCCTCCTTTGAATGACGCCATAGACATGTACACTATATGTCACCTTGGCTATGGCAGTTCATTGGAACCAATGCGTCAATAGAGCCGCCATCTTGGAACAGGGGAGCCCCTCCAATTTAATGCATCAGTGTCAATGTTGACACAGGTCCAAGTTCAACAGAAATAAAATTACCATAAATCATCATAAATGCGATTTTTCTCATTATTTTTTGGTTTGTTCCAACGGTCAGACATGTATTTATCATTGATTCCAGAAAAAAAAATTTTTTTTTCCTAGTTTAGATTTAGGCCTAATTCATGAACATCATACGCTGCACAAAAGTCCGCCACCATCAATGAATTCGAAGTAAAGGCAGAGATAGCAGCGTTACCATGCTACTTTCTATGACAAGACCAAGATGTTCCAAGATGGCGGCGGTTTTGACGCATGCTTAGAACCCCAAGGTGAGGTCTAGTGTATATGTCTATGGAATGACGCTAGTTGAGAATCAGTCAACAGCAGCGTGCTCATACAACAAAAACAATATCATTTAAAATGTTTGTATGTTTATGTTAAAAAAGCTTCATCATATCTTTTGTGGTTCTTCAAATTCATCATAAATTTAAATACAGGGTCTGCACAGAATTGAGAAAAACATGTTCTCGTCTGGCGGCACGGAGCAGAAGGAAGAAGGAGAGTCAGCTGTTCGAAGAGTTGACCGCTCTTCTGCCTCTAGACCCGGAAACGAGAAAGCAAGACAAAGCTTCAGTCATACGTCTCACAATCGCTTACCTTCACCTGAGGGGTCTTCTGAACACACAGTCATCTCCTCCTTCACCAGGTAGAAAGAAAAGGGCTTGAAAGTAGAACACGGGTCGAAAGACAGCAAGTTTTCTAAAGGCCATTGTGATTATAGGAGTATCGGCTAAATCTCATGAGAGGGAGTTGCTAGATTCTGCCCTCGGAGGGTTTGTGGTTTTGTTGTCTTTGAATGGCAAGGTCATCTTCACCACTAAGAGCGTAACCACACACACTGGAATTAACCAGGTGATGACACTAAAACTAAAATGAATTCCATGAACTTGGAATGACTTCACTGGCATCTTCATTAAATCCCAAACGTGTGTCTTTCAGATGGATTGGATCGGGAGGAGTTTGTTTGAGTTCTTGCATCCATGTGATCACATGGAGGTCAAAGACATCCTCACGAGCCTGATGGGTGAGCAATTCTTACTGTAAAGACCAGTTTTTACCATAAATTTCCATGCTGGCCTAGGCTGGTTTATCCTAGTGCCGGTGATTTGATTTGCTGCTAATATTTCAGGAAACCAAGAACAGCAGGAATGTGAAGTGCTCCTCAGGATAAAAAGTGTGATGAATCAGAAGTTGACTCCTTGGAAAGTAAGAAAGGCTTCTTTCCATTGTTTGCAAAAGAGGCTACATTGTTTGCCAGCAGCACCCAAGGCTTGTGTCCCACTGAGGCAAAGCAGTTCCTAGATGGGAGACCTCCTGGAAAAGACTTGGTTGTTGCTGGAAAAGGTGTTAGTGAGGCCAGCAGGGGTGCTCAATTCTAACACCCCAGAATAGTGATGGGGAAATTATACTGTCAAAAAAAAAGCACCATGCTTTGGATGAGATGTTAAACCGAGGTCCTGACACTATGGTTATTCAAAATCTCAGAATGTCCTATGAAAAAGAGTTGGCCTCTATCCATCATCATATCCTCCTAATCATGCCTATAGACTGATTGGCTTCACTCTGTCTCCTCTCCACCAATAAGCTGGTGTGTGGTGGGCGTTCTGGCGCAATATGGCTGCCATGACTGTCGCATCATCCAGGTGGATGCTGCACATTGGTGGTGGTGGTGGTGGTTGAGGAGATTCCCCGTTGTTTTGAGTAGAAAAGCGCAATATAAATGTAATGAATCTTTGCTTTTGTCTGAAGATTATTCAGTGTACCGGAAAGAAAAAGACGTTGGCTACACTTGGATCCAGTTGCCTAGTTCTTCACTGCAGGGTTCTGCCCATGCAGGAGATCACTGAACTGGATGCATCGCTGAATACAAGTACGTTTGTGAGCGTTCACAGCCCAGACATGAAGTTCACCTACTGCCACTCAAGGTACAACCTTCTGCATGCAGCTTTCAAGTGCAAAAAGCTTTTGCTTTGAATCCGTCTTATATTTGTAGCTTTTTTTTTTTTGGCTCAGGGTTGTGAAGTTGACCGGTTTTCGAGACACAGAGTTGTTGGGCCAATCTGTGTACCAGTACTATCATCCATCTGACTGCC